TTTTCCCATCTGATGTGAATTGCACCACCGGAATCCTTTCCATCTGCTTCATCTTCGTCCGCGGCCGAGATGATCTCGCTCTCGTCAAATAATCGACGGCGAGAGATTCCAAGATCTGAACCTCCACGAAATGAACGACGCAAGCGCATGCCATCTTCGGCCGCTCGCTTCATGTCTTTGACGAGTACCGGATCCGGCATCAGACGGACGAATTGAATACGTCGTTGTTTTGTTTTTTCTGAATTTAGACAGGAATTGAATATGTCGTTGTTTTATTTTTTTTCGAATTTAAACTGTCTAACCATTATTCGATTTTGGGAGTTTAATTTACCTCTAATTAAATGTCTTTTTTTTGTTTTTTTTTAATTTAGACAGGTGTATTAATAATATATAAATGTATCTGTAAAACATAGCAATAATGTCTCGTGGTTCAATTGGTCTATGTGATTGGATATGTTATATAGTGTATTGGGTTCGAATCCAAGAAAGAGGAAAACGTTTTTTTTTTTTTACTAAAACGACGTCGTTTTAATAAGGTGACAACGTGTCATGCCAACTTATATTCCGCCATGCCACGTCAGCGTTTTTTAACAGTTGACTAACATCAAAGTTAGTCAAGGTAGATTTTGACACTTATATTAGAATTTGGATACGAGATTTGAATTATTTTGGAATTCAGATAGTTTTTGGCACCGTATTCTAGTACAGATTTTTTTCGACACATCAAATTTAGTTCGGGTTGGTTTTGGCCTTTCCCTACGTGATAGTCAGCTAGTTATAAGATCTTACCCATATTGTCCGCTTGGTTCTCGGCTGTTTTTTCGTAGACAACCATAGCCGTCTCCCTTGTGGCAGACTCCCTCACACCCTCAACTCATCTGGTCATCATCTGCGGTGATGCAGAGATTTAGCTGGTCAATCTCGGACCTCATTTCAACAAAAAACGCGACATCGTCATCCGTTCGGATAGACACTGGTGGTGCGTCCCTGCCGTCGTCCATAGGCATGTAGGAGGGCCACTGGTAAGTCAGAGCTACGGTGGCGTCTTCGTTTATCCTCATTTTCTCTTTGGTCAGCTTTGGTACTTCCTTGAACTTCATCCTTGAGCTGAGAAAAACTGCTTGGCTATTCCCTGTGCGCTCCGTCAGAAAAGTCCACACTCCATTCCCGCCTTCGAACCATTTCTCCCTCACAAGCAAAACCATTTGTCTCCCCAACATCTACATTCACCAGAAAGAAAACAAACACTAAATAACTAACTACTAACTCTAAGTAGTCACTATACTCATCGAGGAGTAGTCATATTCATCGAGGAGTAGTCATACCTTCGTAAATCTTTGTTGTAGACAAACCCTAACAATGTTGTTTACTAGTGGCGGTTTAGGATGTTATGAGGTTGTGTCTATTTATGTGACCCACTACAGACTCTACGATATTAACCTATCCGTACAAGTCTATTAACGTGACCCACTACAGACCCCACGATATTCACTTGACGACAATGTTTCAAGTTCGGAGAAAGTAGTCCATAAAGTTTACGTTGTTAGTGTTTCAGAAACATGGTAGCCTGTGCGTTTGTGTAAAATGGTGTGGTCCCATCGGGGGTCAGAAAAAGCGATGTTTTCTTTTCAGGAGCAAGGGGTATCTCATAATTTCCACCTCCTTTTTTTCGTTGATTACTGCTATACACAAAATTGATCGTCCTTCGCCGGTAGTCTCCTTATTTGCTCTTCCAAAGATAATATTGATGCAAATCACCCATAAAATAATGCTGTTTTATTGAGCTAATTTGCTCTTGGAATGTTGCTACCACACCTAGTTTCCTTTGAATTAAGGCGGTGATAAGTGGATCTGGTGGTAAGAGTTGGGATTTTTCTTCTTTGACTTATGGTTTCATCTTCTCTTGGCTGAGAGTAAGATCTCTCCAAATCCCTATTCAGAGCCTTGACAAGGGAAGGGTGATGTCTTGAGTTATTGATGAGCGGTAATAATATCTATTGAAGATCTAAAATTCTGGCTGGTGTTACTCACGAGATCTAAACGGAGGAGGAAAAAGGAAGCGAATGAAAGGAGGTGTTCAAGCGAAGCCTTTAGGTGGTGCTGGAGAGTTGCTGATGATTACCGGAGAAAGACTGTCGTCAATAGAGTATCAGCAGCGATGCAGCATTTGTTTTCAGTCTTGCCACGTTTTGCCTTGTTTTTTCTCCATAGAACACGTGTCTTTGACGTGTATAGTCTTTTACACGTGTTCATCTAAATTCGTAATAAGCGTTGTAACACCTTTTATACGTTCTTTTTATGGTTTTATTTATTAAAGTAAACGGATGTCAAAAAAAGAAAAATAAATAAATATTTATTTTCTATTTTTGTATTAGACCATCTCCATCTCTGATACTACATGGGGTTCTTAACTATAAAAAACATTTAAAAATAAATAAAAAAGATTAAAATATTTAAGAACTACTGCTTAAAGTTCTAAAATAAGGATTGATTTTAAGGGGATATTAAGGCACATGTCGGCTGGTAATTGGTTGCTGGAAGAAGTTAAGTTGTCCCACACACTCTCTCCTCCTCTCCTCTACTCTCTACGATGGAGATGATCTTAGCTTTTCATTTACTGGGCATTTTTTTCATTTGGGTCTTATTATTGTTGCTTTTATTGTTCCACAAGGGGAGAGGAGAACTAATGGTATTTCCAACCTAATTTTTCCTCTAAATTTTTTAGAGTAATCTTAAAGAGATAATTGGGTCCAAACCCATAACTGAGCCCGAAATTAGCAAACTAACAAACAATTTTTATTTTTTATCTTTTTATTAACTTATTATAGATTTTAGAATTATCAGGCAATTAAAAAAACTAGTTATCTTTCCTGCACCTTGCTCAGACTGATATAATTTTTTATTTGATTGTTTAAAAATTTAATAATAGTTTGAATTCATTTATTTTTTTTAATTTTTATTGTTGATTATATTTCTTTGTTAGATTTCTTTGCATTTTAATATTTGCAAACATGATCGTAAAATTAATATAAAAGAGAGTAAATTAAAACATATTAGTATTCAAATAATTTATTTTAAATAGTTTTGAGATCTTTTGATCATTGTTTTATATATTTTAGACGTAGTTTTTAAATATTTTAAATATTTTAAATATTAATATATATATATTGATAATTTACTTTTTTGTTAGATTTTTTGTTAAATTTCGTTTTTTTAAAAAAAAATATTTCATTAATTTTTAAATAGATTCGATTTTTTCTTTCTTTTAATATTTTTGTTAGATTTTTTTTTTTAAATTTCGAAAACATAAAAATGGTAATCACTAAGAGCATCAACAATGCAAATACCCCATTAGGGGTTCTTGAGCAATATTATAATATTAAAGTGTCAGATACTCTTCAAGCATCGATATTTACGAATCTTAAATAAGAAGCGATACTTGATTTTTAATTTCTTTTGGAATGAATTTTGGGCATAAGAATCTCTCAACCCAGGCCTAAGTACCAGCCAGCGTTGCTGATGGTCTAAGAGATATAGTTTTTATAATTGATTTTTTTTTAAATGTTTTTGTTAATTTTTTTTATAAATTTCAGTTATATATAATTTTTAAAATAGTTTGATTAACTATAAAATTAAGTATTAAACCATAATAATTTAGACCAGTTTATTTTAATTTTTTTTTTACACATCAACAGATAATAGCCACTTAAAAAATGACACCTAATTGCAAAATAAAGCTTAACAATTTTTTTGCTGCCAAAATTGATTCCGCAGTTAATACATAAGGAAAAGTTTGTAATTTTATTCGTTGTGAACGCGACATATAAATAAATATATAAATTTTTTTATTAATAATATTATGTGTCAAAATATAATAGATTAACTTGATACATCTATTATATTAAAACAGAAGCACATTTAGTACTTGCTTCCAAACACTCCTAATTTTTTTTAAGTGTTTAAAAATAATTTTAATAATTATTTATATTTAATTTCGAAAATTAGTATTAATTTAAATATTTTTAGAGTTCTTTAAATATAGGTAATTTAGATTTGATTTGATTTGATTAAAAATAATAAATCAGATATTAATTTAGATTTGATTTAAAGATTCTAATTTAAATAATTTTTATACTATTAAACATTTTTATCAAAAATATCTAAAATTTTTGAAAAAAAAAATTCACATATAAAAAATAATGGTCATATTTGAAATATAAAATATTTATAATGATGTAAATGATATGATATTTATGTTGTTTATATAATATATTTACGATTATGATTTATTTACAAATTAATAATAAAATAATAAGTAAAATTCAAATGTATAATTTAAATATTAAAAATATATTTTTTAAAATTCATAGAACTAAAAATATATATAAAAAACCGGGTTAAAAATATTTTGGTAACTAATATCACTAATTTTGAATTATACATGTATATCGAAATATATTTTTCATACAAAATCAAAACATAAAAATATTAAAAATTATTGCATACACTATAATGTGGTTTGAAAAATCAGTTATACACTCCATTCGTTGATTAAATTTTAGAAAACTATAATACTAAATAATATTGTTAATACATCTCAAACTTTTAACAAATATTTATATTATACAGTAATATGAACGGAAAAATTAGAATTATGTTTTTATAATAATTCATTTTGAATTAATATTAGCGGACGGGTTAAAATTATATTTTTATAATCAAAATTAATTTTAATACTACAAAAATATATCTAAACACAAAATTAATATTTTTACTTATTAAAAAATATATTTATAAAAATAATTATATCTAAACTCAAAAACACAAATTATATTACAAAATTCGTTAAACAATAAAAAATATAGAATCTAGTATCATGGTAAAGTAGCAACTTTTAAATATTCAACTTTTAAATAACAAGATTAGCAACAGATTTTTCCAACGTAATATCATTGTACACACTCTCTATAATATACTAGATGAACATAAAACGCATAATGAAAATATTTATTTTTTGATAAATTAGGAAAATCTATAGTGTCTGTTCTTCCCATATATGAGAGACCCCATTTATGCTGCGTATACGAAGTAACTTACAAGCCAACAATTTTTTCTGGTTACAAATAACAGTTATGAAAATCTCATAATAATGCATATATATAGATAGAACAAAAAAACAAGAACCAACCTTCTAGAAGAACTTCTAGAATTTCTGAAGAACCACAGAGTTGGCGAGACCTGCTTGTTCAATAGTCTGAGTGAGATCAGTCAAGGGCTTAGGTGGGAATCCCATTGTCTGAAGCTGGTAGTTCACAGGTGATCCAGGTCGAGAAGAATCAACGAAAGCACGAATGTCGTTGATCGTGTGATGGTGATTGAACTTAGCCACTAGGCGGTTCCCATCCGCTAGTCTAATCTGGATCGATGTGGTCGGAAGTGTTTCATCAATCACCATAACTGGAGATGGTGCTGCTACATCGGTTTGGTTGGTTTGGATGGAATCTGGAGCCATTGGTGAGCTGCTTCCAGTGATGTCGTTGCTACCACCTAGAGTCCTTCCAACACCTTGAAACGAAACCCTACGCTGCTTCTCTCGTTCCTACAATGGCAAGAAACAAGACCGGTTAAGACATTACATTTTGTTGTATGGTGCAATGATTTTAAAAGGTAGATAGATAGATAGAGAGGACTCACGGGGCATTTCTCTTCCCTTCGCATCAGATTGACATGTACCGGAGCTCTTTTATCTGCAGGCTCAAGCTCTTTCGGGCACTCAGACTTTCGAATGCTCTGCAACAATCGAACAGAACAAGAACAAGATACACAAACCGAATCAGTTACACTCAAAAAAAGAATATTAACAGTTCCTCCACATGAAACTCATTCAACAATCACCTCGAGAAAAGATGCATTCTCTGGATCATCCAGCTTCCTCAAAGGGCCATCATCTATGGTGAATCCATTAGACCAGAAAACAATGTTGTGAACTACAGGCTCAGGCTGTTGAAGAGCCGTTGAAACGCTTTCTCCTGAAAGCGATCTCCCTGTTCCAGTGAAGCTCCTAGAGCTTGAAGGAGTTTCAAGAGGTCCTTCCACAGCTCCTAGCTGTCTAGCTTGATTGAATATCTCATCAACATCATCCTTTTTCGAAGGATCTTGAACAAGCATACCACTGCAAAGAAACAATAAAAAAGCCTCAAGATTTACACTGTTCCTTCTACGTCATTCGAGAGTGTTACATCATCAAAAATTTGATCTAATTTAACAATTTACAGAAAAGTTTGAGCCTTTACATGAACCCTAAATGGAGAAAGTAAGCTAGATTACAATAACTCAAGAAATTTACTCTCTTTCTTCTACCTCGATACAGAGTGTTCTCATCAATTTTGATCCAATTAGAAGTATTTAAAACTGTCTAAAGATAAATACTCGCGCAATTAGTTTAATCATCATCAACTTAGGAGAACTCCAGATCCAAACATGACTAATGACGATCCTCACACTTAATTATATCACCATTAACATCAACAACCAAAGAACATCGATTGAATCACAAAAATCCAAACTTTAAGGTTTTCTAAAAAGACTGACCTTTTCTCGCCGCCGGTGTAGTATTCTTGAGGTCCGTCGGAATCACTGTCGGAGTCCGGTCCAGACCTTCGATTAAGATCGGAAAGAGTACGGATTTTACCAACTCGACTACTCGATGGCCTCGCCGGTTTCTTGTCCTTGGAAGACATTTTTCTCTCTCCGTTGCTCAGAACAGAAAACGATTTCCAGAGAGAGAGAAAGAGAGCTGAGAGAATAATATTGAGGAATAAATCAGAGATATCGAACCAACGTTAGAGAGACGCTCACTAGTCACTTGTTTTTTTTACGCGCTACTCAGGCGCGTGGAGTCGAGATGCATTCATCATGAGTTAACCAAACTTAGATTTTGCTGGTACTTTAGTTTTCGACATTTTTGGCAAGATGCCTTTGTATGATGTTCAACCTATTTTAGTGTATGTTTTATTTTATTCTTATAAAAGTATCGTACTATATTCTTGAGTCTTGACTCCAAAATAGGATAAAAATATATAAAAAAATCAATACTTTTGAGTTTTGAGGAGTTATGAAAACAAGAAAATGAATAATCATGGTTTAATTGATAACCAGATTCGTCGAGACATTAAAAGATAACGACAGGCTCAGAACTTCCACTATTGTCGGCTGACCCCAAAAATTCGGTTCAGATCGTTTTCTTAAAACAAGTAAAATATCCTATTCCTAGGTTGTTTTGGCCCGGTTTGTATAGGATTTGGACCAGACCGGTCAAACGTAAAATTTTTGTTTTGTATTTCACGGTCCGTCAACAACTCAGCATCATTTTGCTGACAAGTTGGTCCAGAAAAAGAGCTGCATCTAAGAGAATATCAAGATCTGTTTTAGACATTCCTTTAATAAAACTTGGCACTGTCAAAACCTGGACCGAACCGGTCTTAATCTACCGACATCTCGAGATAAGAGATCACATGCTTCTTGGAAGACGATGGACGGTAATAAAGTCTCAGAACTTGTAAGAAAAAGGAATTAAGTTATCTCCTTTTTCTTACAAGTTCTTAGGCCAATTTCTGTGTGGTCTTAAAAAAAAGGTGTAAAGTCAATGTCGATTTGAGTTATCTCTAGAAAAGTTTTTTTAACATTTAGAGAAAAAACAAAAAAAGAAGAACATACATTTCCACTAAAGATCACATCACCTCATCTTCTTTGGTTCTTCTGCTCTTGCATACTTCTTGATTAGGGATTCAACATCTTTCCAGAATAAACCCTCAACAAGAACTCCATCTTTGGTGAGCCTAAATACACACAAAAGTAAAACAAGTAAGGCTATGCAATGGATATGGCTTGAGCCTGAATACACACAAAAGTAAAAGACATTAGGCTATGCAATGGATATGGCTTGAGCGTATGATTGAGCAATGCAGAGACAGAGAGAGAGAGAGAGAGAGACCATTGAGTGACACTTTTGGTTAAGTGGACTGACTTCCCAGCTGAGATTGATTTCGGATCAGCACTGTCGATGGTGAGAGTGTACTGATCAGAGAATCTTGGCAACTTGGAAGATACAACCAAACCGGTGCTGGTGAATGATCCCTGCGTATTAATCATCCAAATTACAAGTCAGGAAATGATGAGCTAAACAACCAAATAAACATGTCCAAATTGTAGCAAACAAATTGATTAATCTGCTAAAAAAATTTTAAAAGCCTATTCTGACCTAACCAATGAGTAGTACCAATCAAATGTTTGGTAAAATTGCATCCCCTCGTATACAAATTAGCTGAGAGAGGTAAAATTTTTTCCAGATGGTGGGATCAAGAAGGAAATCACCAACACCAACATTACATTTCAGAATCATCTTGAACAAGTATGCCTCATGTCCCAAGACATGATCAATCACAAAACACCAAATATATACAAGAACTTCCACAGTCCGAATTATTGAGACTTCAACGAATCAAATAACACACTGAGAAATAGTTGGTTCTAGGTTGGTAGAGTGAAAAGGTAAGGTAACTCCCCCCTAAAGTTCAAATGCAAACCATACAACATATGTGAAGCTAGAAGAAGCCTAATTCGAATTCTCTACAAGACACAAAATATAGCTGAATTTATGAAGAAGTGAATGCTATCTACATTTTGCATCAAAATCACAGAAGCTACAGTCATTACAATACAGTCAATTCTAAAAAAGAAACAACTTTTCTCAACAGTCATGGAACAAACCTCAAGAGGATAGGTGAACAATATCGCATTCTTCTCCTTAGTGTACAAAATCAGCTGCATTACCGCAGTCAACACCACATACTTGCCAGAGTCAAGAAACCAAAACAAATCCAACATTTTATTCAAAAGATAAAGACTTTGAGCAGTTTATATGATCATGCACACATTCTTTCTTACAGTTAATAGACATTCTACTTTCTCAAAAACTAATGCAACACACACAAAGCGAATCCGAGCAATAACATGTTAAAAAGTTAATATTTTTCCCAAAGAACTGAAATTGTCATTTCCCCAATTTAAATTATCTTTCAGTTTAATCTTCAACCCTATAGAGAATATTGCGAATCCGATGCAACAGAGTAAAAAAAAAGGATATAATCCGATGCAACAGATCAGAAAGTCTCTGTTTTCAGGGAACTTCTTATTGTAGAATTGGGCAACAAGAGCGACCACGATAATAATCGCCCCTAACAGAAATTTGACGTTGCTTAGCCTCACATCCTCCTTGTAACCTCGGCTCGTAACGATCTAACCAGAAACAAAAACGGAAAAGGAGGATAAAAAAATCAGAGAAAATGGCGAAATCGAAGGAATTTTTTCTGTGTGGATTGTTTTTTCTTGTTTCTGTGGCTTACATCGGAGACGGATTCGTCGAGAATGTGCTTGACGGAGTTGTGGTCTAACAGGTTAGCTTTCTTAACGTTCTTGTTCGTTGATTCTGTCTTCTTATCATCTTCCATGGGTAATAGATCCGAACGAGACAATACCAGTTCTCAAATTGGCGAAGTGAAGGATCTTATCAGACTGCTAATGGAGAAGTTTCATTTCAGTCAAATGACTTCACTCCTAGTTTTGAAACGCTGTCGTTTCATGGATATTACATATGGGCCTCTCTTGGGCTTCATGAAAATTAACAAACTGTATCAATTGAAATAATTAACTAAACCGGACGATTAGAGTTAGCAACAAACTAAAACTGGTCCATTTTGCCTCGGGACTTGATCGCAACTTTGAATACGTAATTCAAAGAGATCTAATAGAAAATGACACTGAATTATATAACTTTAATGAAAGGTAAGATCCTAACATTTATCAAAATTGAAAAAGAGTTAGAAAAAATGGTTTGATCCTCTTAATTTATTTTTCACAGCAACAGATCCAATCCATAAATCGTGATCCTAATGCATATAGCCATATAGTGATATAAATATAAATGCTCCAAATCTCCAATGAGAGTTAGAAAATCCAAAAGCATTTGGAATATTTTGTTACTGATGGCCGTTTTTAAATAGTATTTAGTCGATTATGAATTAATCTATATTATATTGATTAGTCCAGGGTTATTGATATAAAAACAAAAAAATGGTCATTCTCTTGGTATTATGGTATATATCGTTTTGGGAATGGCTTTTAGTGAAAAAACCCCTCATCTAAGTTTGAATCGGATAAAAATCCCTCAACTATTTTTGTAACGTAAAAACCCATCAACTAAGTTTTCGTAATGATTTAGCCCTTCCGTGAACAGCACCGTCAAATCTTAACAAATCGTTCTTTTTTTAGCAAAAACTACACGATTTTTACTATAAACAACAAGTTTTTTGAAAGCCAGATATAAGAATCCCAAATTAAACATAATCTCTAAAATTCCTAAATTCTTAAACCTAAATTGATGAATCCTAATTTTTGAAAGTGTGATTCTAAGTAGTTTTTATGGTTTGTAAGTCAATTGGGTGAGATTGGAAATGATTTGTTGTATTGATTAAAACGAATTTGAGAGAAAAACCCTTGAATTGAGAGAAATATTTTTGCAAATTGGGAGAAAGAGAAGAAAGAATCACAAATCTGAAGCTTGGAAGAAGATGAGGCAGCTGTTTTAATTTGATGTTTAAAACCTTGTTCTTCTTCCTCCAACAAATTTATTTAGAATAATAATTTAAGAGTTTTTCAAATTGAACGAGGAACCCTAATTCTTAAATTGAGGATTTTTAGTTTCAAATCGATTTGGGGTTTTCTTTTATTGAAGTCATTTCGTTTTTTTATAAAAATACAAAACATCATGTTTTTATTTAACTGTAATCCGTTAAGATTTAACGTTACTGTTCACGGAGGGGCTAAATCATTACGAAAACTTAGTTAAGAGGTTTTTACATTACAAAAATAGTTGAGGGGTTTTTATCCGATTCAAACTTAGTTAAGGGGATTTTTCACTAAAAACCCGGAAATATATATTTATTATCAAATTTATGAAAAGCCAACCAAATGGAACAGACAATACATGGATGGCAGCCGAAATATAGAAGATGCTGACGGCGAGTTTAGTCTAGCCAGATTTGGCTTGTCTCGGGTTCTTTATAACACTAGTAATTTAAGAACATCGAGGTCCACTATACATAAAAATATGTATTACATCAATTAAACTGTATCACAAAATTAAAAAAAAATATTATTGTGAATTTACTTATTTATTAATGATATAAGATATGGGGTTTAACATCAATTGTAATATTTGATGTTGTTATTGAATAGCTTAACATCAATTTAATACAATCTAATAAAATTGATATACAGATCTCTATTAATTTCCATCTTTAAAAAAATTAATACAAAAATATGAATTCACATCAGTTAATAATCAATGTTTTATGTTTATAAGAATTTCTTCATAACATAATTATAATAGCACTTAAATTTTAAGTACATAACATATGTTATATTAATTGATGCAAATTCTACCATCACTTTTTCTGGGGGGGGGGAATTGTAAATTTAGGACACATTTTGCATACAATAGTCTTCATAAGACTTTTTGGATTTTTGTCACTTTTTGGACTTAATTACCATTTAATTAATGTTGAAATTGATTTTATAAATTCGAATTTAATGTTTTTTTAAAAAAATTGAAAATAACAAAAATGGAAATAAATTTACTACCAAAAATTATTTGTGGAAAGTGTTAAATTTTTAAAAATTGTTTTCCACAACATGTTGAAAACATATTCTACATTCTGTAGTTTTTTAGAATATGTTTTCTACACATTCCTCTACAATTAATCTATGAAACCTAGAATTTATGTTTTACATGTTCTTCTCTATTCTATTAGTCGTATAGAATTTGTATTCTACAAGATCTTCAGCATTCTATAACTACTATTATACATGTTCTACATTTTTCATTATGTTCTATATTTTACTAAAATATGAATTCTAGCAATTTTTATTTGTTCTATGTAATGTAGAATATGTATTCTAGTAAATTATTAACAGAATCCTGAGAAAATTTAGGATTCATGTGCTTATCCACCAAACTGAATATTTTTCAAATATTCACTTTCTTTTTTTTGTATTTTTTTAATATTTTTCCTGATGTTGGGATTAAATATTAAAATCATAATAATAAAATTGAATAATGTGCTCAGCAACAATGGTTTCTTACGGCTTTCCATTACCTCCACCCTTCGAGTTCGAGACCTCTAGTCTTCTTCTTTTTTTGTTTTTTTTCGGATTGATCGATCGATCTCATCATCTGGTCTGATCATTCTCGTCCATCTGCTCGGGCTGTATTGTGTTTGCCGGATGGATAGATCGATCCCAGATCTATCTTGTATTTTTCTATACTTGCTTCATTTGCTCACCAAATTGGACTGTTTTCACAAAATTGCTATAATTTTTGATTGCACCGTTAGAATTACCTCAAATCACTTTCAAATGAAAGCTAGTTCCATTTATCTATCTGGTTTCTAAATTTGAGATTAATCCATCGGTGGAAGCTAGCCAAACTTCTGATGTGTGAGATGTGTGTTCATAAAACAAAGTAGTTGAAATATTTTTTTTTCTCTATCTTTGTTGTCGTGGAGACAAGAATTTTTCTTTTTATTTTTCTGATTTTTTTTTTAAATTATTTTATGTTAAGGTAAATATCAAAATGTTTTAACAAAATTACTAGAATGAAAACTGAAGGATAATTCTGGGTTTCAATAAAAATAAATCTTAGAAGGATAATGTCTAAGATAATAAATCTTAAAAAGACAAATAGTTTGGAAAATTATCATAAATTTCTAATTATCTCTTTTTTAATTGATACATATTAACATCAGTTACAGTAATCGTTATTTTTTTAAGTTACTTAAAAATGTAAAAAGTTTTTATATCAATTATAATTAATATAAGTATATAATAAGCGATGAAAAAATAACTTTTGTGGTAGTGACCAGACATGTTTTTTTTAATCAGACCAATTAACTCTTTGTATTTTTTTTTATCGACTAGTTACTTCAAAATAATTCTATTAATTATTTGCTATCATATAACTATAGATTTTGACTATTTTGCTATTTAGGTTTATGCCGGTATAAACAATGATTCTTCATTTTCTGGGTAGTATGCGTAGGGATGCATAGTAAGGTCACAAGATATTACAATCAACGATATTTTGGTTTTGTACAAACTAGTCGAGCAATCGCAATTGAAGGTGCTATTTCTTCCACGTCGACTTTTGGAGGCACTCAAACTGATCTAACTATTCAAATATGGAAGGTTAGAAATTTTATTTTACTTTTATGTATAAAAGTTTTTCTATATAGTTAGACTCAAATGTAGCGATACACATTTTTATTTTGGTGGACCGTGGACATGAACATGACAAAAGCAGTTAATTTTTTATATTTCAGTTTAGACTTGTTATTGCTGTTTTAGGTTTTTCTTGATGTGTTTATTGAATCTTGGAACTTATAATGACATCTTGGAAAAACTCAGCAATGTTTAGTTTGTTATTATCTGCTATAATGCTTTAAATTGGATTGGTTACTAATAACACCTAAGTTAACTAATATGTTGGTTTTTAATCAAAACAAATTAAATATTTTTTTCGATGAGCAATTATGTACAAATATTTGTTTTACAAAATTCCAAATTTACTTAAGTCGTATAATATTATACTTTGGAGTTGAAAAAACAGAATTCTTTGACAAAGAGTAGTATTAATATAAATATCTACTAATTTTCATAAGCTAGATCCAATAAAAGGATTATGAACTATATATCATTTATAAGCATAACATAAACAAAATGTAATCAAAATGTAATCAAAATATAAGCAAAAAAATCACAAAGTGAGCAAAATATTAGTAAAATATAGGATAAAAATAGAAAATGAAAAATGAAAAACCTGATGCAACGGTGGTTCAGGGGAATACACTTGAAATACAGAGCAATTTTCTCTACCTATTCTTGGGAAAATTTGGGTTTGTGATTATCTGCAGCACACAATTTCGCCATTCTAAGGAGAAACTTTACAATGTAATTGGGACGGTCATAGAAGTCATTTTCAACGGTCATTGTAATAGAAACCTTCCTTGACCATTTGGTCAACCCTAGAGGATGGCTAGCCTGGAATAACCAACCCCCTCCAACAACGCTGAAAATCTGTTTTAGTCAAATGGTATCTGTTTCTCTCATAGTTTCACATCATTCAGTATTTAGTCTGTTTTATAAGCTCAACGATGTTTTTAAGAAAAATTCAATAATGTTTTTGATTTATACGACAGAAATTTTCTACTTAAATACAAAAAATGAAAAAAGCAATAGGGAAGCATTAGCAAGTCACATTATTGGACTCATACAAAACGCTTCCCGCAGAAAATTTCAGCCAAAAGTCCATAGTATCATCAACAATTAATGCCTCTCGAGGACATTACGTATGCAGTTTTCTTTTGACAAATACTTACCTAATGCAAAACCAAAATAACAATAATAAACATTTTTAATAACAAATATTTATAGAATTATGGAATTTCTCAACATCTAAATAAACCA